AGTACATGTATGATCATTAGTCACGGCAAGAGCAGCAGTGCCACCATCAAGTCATCTCCACTACTCTGATACCTGCCAACACACACCACATAGATTGCTACAAAGTAGCAGGCATCATCAGGGAGAATGGATTAGGCTAGCTTGGACACATAACACGAATGTATGACAAGCGTATGTCAAAGTCTGGTATGTTTGGACAGCTCCGTGCAATGCGTTCTCAGCATGGTCCCCGCAGGCGATGGTGTGATGTGGATGGTGAATGATATGCAATCCCTTAGTCAGTCCCTGTTCTCCGTTGACTGCTGCTATACTGGTGTCCAGGTTGCTTTTGTTTACACACACGTTGCTCATGGTCGTAGTCACACTGCACCTACTCCAGGTCGAGATCGATCAAGGTTTACACTGTACAACACACAATGTCTGTAGTCAATACGGACATCTCAACCATCACACACCATACTGAAAAGTACGTAAATACATCATGTAGTCCCGTCTCTAACATTCACTGGGTTGATGTACACAGCTTGGATCTGGACAACGGACTGTGATAACATGTAGTGCTGATCAGTACTACTACTCTCGAACAACACTGATTCATTCATTGACCGATTGTTGGTCTCTGACAATCTCTAACCGTGCCCCTCACCCCTGCTCCTTTTCGTCTATTTTGAGGTCATCTCGGATGTGTGCTGCTGATATTGAGGAGACGGAGAGCACAAGTGAACAGAGTCTTTAGCCTTTCATCGTCACCGCTGATACAGCACCAGCTCCGCCACCTCGTCGCTCATTTTATCGATTTTCTATGAGAGCTGCTCAACAAGCACGTTTGCCAACGGGGCCAACGATGCCAAGATCTGGACCTGACGGGCAAGGCCAGCGCTGCACATGTATCTTGGACAGTGAGATGTGATCAACTGGCGTTATCATGGTTATGGTTGATGTTCAAAAGCCTGGATACTGGATAGAGTACAATGGTCTTACATAGTGTATGACATTTTTTCGGGGTAACGGCCTCTTTTACGGGCAAGACCTAGTCATGTACATGTAGGTGTGGAAAAATAGAGATACCATGAAAAGTAAAATAGAATTTTATTCCAGTACAATACATTGCAAAACTCCAAGAAATTCCTAGTAAAAATATGTATGAATATTTTCGCTCCTGCTCTTGTAGCAGTTGAGCACTCGCATGTGGGGTAGTGCCTTTGCTGTTTGCATTACGCAGAGCTCACTGACTTGTCAGTTTGAGCACTCTGGCAAGGTACGTTCGGGCCTGATTAAATTAAATCTGGCTTTGGAAATTTTATTTTCATTGCTATCAGGTTCGGCCTCATTTTCTCTGTGCTGCGCTGAGGATCTAGGAGTTCACAAAGAACGAAACAGCATGCTGTCGGCAGATTGAGTGTATGACATGCATACATGTACAGATTACATTACTATATACACACACTTGCCATGTACTTGTACTTGTACAGTGCTGACAACTGAAATCCGACCCCCTGGGCGGCGCGGCGCGGCCCCCCAGGGAGTCGGATTTCAGTTGCCAGCACTGTACAGACTGTCCATGTATGCATGTCTGAATCCAAGATTCACTGACCGACCACGCTACTGTTGAGAGAAGTGACCTGACGCAACGAATTAATTCTGGGTGGCCTCAGAAAGAAATTTTTTCGGACTGTCCCCATGCCCAGAGCCCTCATACAGTACAGTATACTTCAGGCCAGCTGACTAGTTATGCATGAGGATGCATTGATTTTGCATGGTTCACGTGCAGAAAACTAAGTACATGTAGTTGCCGCGATCCAAGTGCAGCTAACAGCAATAATAACAGTCATAACATCATGTTATTGCACATGTTCTTGATTTAGTTACACTATAATGATTCTCAACTTTGCCCAGTTTATTCATAGAAATCATGTCATCATCTCACTGCCTACCCTAACGGAATTATTTCCACCGATCACAACAGGCCTTAGAACTAGAAGCCACTCTAATGCTCTCATTGCCATATCTGAACACCGGACAACTGATGAAGTAAATTCTTTTTCTAATCGTGCCGCAATTTTCTTTAATACACTGCCTGCCGAGTAGCGCAGACACCACCGTGCCTCTACATTTGCAAACCAACTCAGAGATCTTTTTAAAGACCCAGTGGCCTTTAAGAAGTATTTTGACCTTCTTTTTGGAATCTGTTGAGTTTCGATGATCTTGATAGTTCTTGTACTAAGCTTGAAGTAATAGTTGACTTGGTTTTTGATTACTGTACTGCGTGATGTCTGGATTCCAATTTTTTCCATTTTTTTCTTTTCTTTTCCTTTCCACTTATCCCGTTATCGGCCCTCTTAAGAGTTGCGTGTATCACATCACTGTAGAGTCCACTACTGCATGAGTTTTATTTGTACAATACATGGCAGGCGTACACGGTGTGCCTCGCAGGACTGCGAGATGCTGCAGAAGACCAGGTTCGACCTTTCTGGACCGCCATTCACCGACGGTGGGCTACACGATGCTGGAGGAACTAGATTCCAGTAAAAACCCAAGATTTCTTTTCTCCTGGACGCTCCGACGTGTTGTGATATCTGCCAGGTGCGCAGTAACTAGTATTTTCATCGCTACAGCGAGGACGACGCCGATCGGCAAACTCTCGCTCACAGCCATCACCAGCCTCTCAAAACCATCACTTGGCATCCCCCAGAGGTACAGGAGAAAGCCAAAACAGCTCACAACAAACAAAAGCTAAGGACGATGGAAAGAGAGCATGTCAAAAAGAAGACGAACAGTATGAAGTTCAAATGGTTTTGAACACTCGTACCACCAACTATACCACTTTCAATAAATCGTGACGCCATTTTGTTTTAACATGAATATCGCGGATTCCAAAAATTACTGCCATTCATTGGCTTTAGCTTTGCCCTTGAACTTGAAATCTCGTGCCTTATTCTTTCTTGGGGACTGGTGTTGGATATTGAACGGGCGGAGTGACCGCTGGGATGATGGATGAAGGAGATGATGGCCTAATCTTGGCTGGGCGCATTCTTATTTTCGCGTGGCCTGCCACTAGTGTTTGATTCACAAAGGGTGTCTCAGGCATAGCTGGAGGAAGAAAGGTGATGTGAAGTTCTGCCATCGCAGCACTGTATAGAGGGCCATCAGAGGCTGTGTAGGCTGTATGTAGCATTGTTTGATTTCGCTCAGTGCTGAGCTTGCACCACACCACAGGTAGCATATTGAGTATTATTTACATTATCCATATTACTTGAACCGCTCTGTGAACGTGAGCGGTTCAGAAAAACCTTTACTGGCGCTGCCCCGTCGTAAAAGTAAGAAATTAAAACTGGCTCATTGTACCCCCAAATGTGAACTGATCCACCTAAATCGCGAATGACGTGACCCGAACGCAGCAGTAGCATGAGGGTGCACTTGTGGTGTGCCGCAGGGCTCTGTATACTAGGACCCATGCTGCTCTCCATATACACCAGAGATATCCCTTCGGAATCTGCGCCGGCATCATCACAGCAGTTTGCGGATGACATCGACCTGACATGTGCAAGACGGACAGCGCAAGAGGTGTCTGATGCGCTCAGCTTGGCGGTTACCTCCCTCTCAATTGTTTTTACCAGCAGCAGTGGGCAGCAGCCGGACGTGGTTGTACGCTGTCGAAATGATGTCCTTCCGCACACCACCAGCGCGAAATACCTCGGCGTCTTAATCGATGAACGAATGGCCTGGCAACCGCAAGTTGACCGGTGCATCTCACGCACTGCTAGGAAGATCGGTAGTCTGTGGCGGGCGCGACGCTGCCTCACTCTAGCTAGTCGAAGCAAGTACTTCCTATCTGTCATCATGCCGGATTTGATATATGGATCGTCAGCATATGGCTCCGGCTTGACCCACAACCAGCTCTGCCTAGACTGCCTCCCGTTCATTTCTGTGCTCCTGTCTTTATTCTCGTCAGCTGTGTACTTCAGCAGTTCAATTCTGTGCTCCAGTCCTCTTTATTCTCGTGAGCTGTGTACTCGTTTTGCTGTTTGTCTGGTTTATTTGAATTCGCACAGTAAATGTGTACTTCAGTTATTCTCTCCTCCCTCTTCTGAGTTTGACTCTCCGCTGGCCTTCTCTCCTCCCATCCCCTTACATCGTATTGGGCCACCGCACACACTACATTGTCACATAGCACAACTCAACCATTCGCTACCCTGTTATTGAGCACTCCTGCTCGTTTGGTCTCGCAAATCCAAATAAAACAATCAATCAATCAGGTTCCTACCTGTGGATGCAGCTGGGGACGCCGGTCCACAGGCCATGGTCGTCGATGAACTCCCATGTTGGATATCCGATGGAAGTAACTATGTGACTAGCAAAGTTACACTGCCACTGATACCATGTACTAGTGATGGTGTTACCCTATGATGTGCTGTGATCCTGTGCCCTCCCGACCTCGTGCTACTGGTGCCTCCTGGTCCCGTCATTCGCGATTTAGGTGGATCAGTTCACATTTGGGGGGACAATAGAGAGGTTAAGATGCACGTTATTTCGGACGCGACGCGAAAGTTCAGCTCGAGTTATTTGCTCGCACGTCGAAAAATCAATGCGAGTGACCTGCTGCCCACGTCGAATTTGGAGTTTTACGCCAAATTTGACGTCGGACGTCGGAAATAACGTGCATCTTAACGTCTCTAATGGGCCAGTTTTAATTTCTTACTTTTAAGACGGGGCACCGCCAGTAAAGGTTTTTCAGAAGCGCTCACAGAGCGATTTTTATATGGATAATTTCAGTTCTTTTTCCGTTCCCTCCCCACCCCAACCCCGAAGGTAAACATGATGAACACGCGCGCGATGTACTGTATGTAGGCATGAGAGTACGATAACACACTGATACATACCAGCCCTCCCCACCTCGCTTACCCCGCACACAGATACACAAACACGCGCATGCACACGGCACACATACGCACATGCACACGACACAAACAGGAAATTCTTCATGTAAAATGCCATGCAAAGCAGTGGCCACCGTACTTCAGGAAGTCAGTTGTGGAACAAATGAAATTAAACTACAACGTGTAGACAAGCTGACGGCCAAAGCACAACATAGCAAACATGACATTTGCCCAAGGATTGCAGTTTGCAGACCACGTCATGGAAGCAGCGAATACAGAATGTAATATCATACAAAGTGACAAGCAAAGAAGTGGCCACCATACACCAGAAACTTGCAGAAAGTCACATATCCAACAGATAGAAAAGTGAACAGCAATCTGGTACAGCCCACACAAGACAAAGCTGACCTGATTCTTGTCCCAGGATCGCAAGTGGCAGATCCTTTTCGATGCATAACATGCAGGTGTACGTTACACGCATGGACAAAATCTGACCGTGTCGCCAGCATACAATGTCATCACATGTATACCCCACAAGTTACACACATGCACAGTAGAAGCACAATGAAAGCAATGGAAAAGTACGATGTGGTTGCTGAAGCATCTTCGCACTTCAAATTCAGACTTCAATGTGGTCGTCACGAGATGATATACCTGCAAGATACAAGTGATGCAGAAAGAAAGCAGAAGGTCGTGAGGTAGGCTATGAGACACCACAAACGGGTCACCTACAGGTATGTTCAGGGCTAGTGCACTCGCACGCAGAATTATCATAATCGAGCATTTCCCAAACTGAGAAGTGCAAGGAAATCCACTTGCATGCACAGGAGCAATTTTGCCGCTGGTGTGATGCGCAATTCGAGACAATCTGCGATGCTGCGTGCTCACCTCTGATGCCGATTACTTCCTTGCTTAGACCGGCCCGGTCTGCTCTCCCTTCACTCTCTTCTAAATCCTACTTGAAGCAGTAAGGCTGTGTCACTGCTCCTACTGATAACCCAGTTAGGTTGTGGTCATTGTTGTGAAAGCAATATCATCGTCATTGTGGTAATAACATACGTTTTTGCACAGCGGCTGGCGCTAGAACGTGCAGCAAGCAGCACGCTTGTACTTCGGATTTTGCGATTTTTCGAGGGCAATGGCTTCCTTTTTGCTTTGGCTACCTACGAAGTACGACCAACGAATCTATGAGAAGTATTTTTGGAGCTGGAGTACGAGTGGGGTTGTCTGATAAGTGCTAGGAGAACCCTCCTTTGTGGCTGTAGAGCGCTAAAACGTGCCCTGTTGGCCGAAAAATCCGAATTTTTTTCTCCCGGGGGACACCCCCGTTGTGCCACTCCCAACCGCCCTGTGACGCCCCTGTCATTGTAGCTTACCAGCTGTCTTTTTTGGAGATGCAGTAGCAGCTGAGGACTTGCATACAATCTCTGTTTCAACTGCAACTATTTCCACAATGTTGTCAGGTATTGGTGCGGGCGACACACGCAGATTCTACACACGCAGAAGGAAAGAAACACCATGAACATATACCTGTTACTACATGTACATGTACATGTTGCCACTGTCAAATATTCCACAGGCAGATGCTGGGGATGGAGAGGAGAGCAACATCAGCAACAGCAGAAGCAGCAGCAGCAATAGCTGCACTATTAGCAGCAATAGCAGCAGCAGCAGTACCACACAGCAATTCACCACCATACCTCAGATTGTATACCCGGTATGAGCATAAAATGTCCAGTGGCCTTGTCCTCGCGAAACCGGCTTTCATACTCGTTCAACAGAATCTACAGCGCACGTTGCACAGGAGAATTCATACTCATTCAACAGAATATACAGCATACATTGCACAGGAAAATGCTTGTACATTGCAGAGGAGAATACTGGCTTTCATACTCGTTCAACAGAATCTACGGTGTACATTTGACAAGAGAATACAAGGCATAACGATTAAGCAAATCTACGCCAATAGTTATGTATGTCCCTGAAGATAGGCTACTGTAAAACCGGAAAATTTAGGTGGAGATTTATTTTCGGTAACTTCGGTTTTACCCACACATCACACACGACAACTTACCTCCACGGTCGACATGAGCTCCCCAGGATCCCCCAGCTCCTTGGGACACGCCCTCACCATCGTCGTGGAAACGTTCAGCTCGGCCAGCAGCCGTCGCAAGCCATCAATCTCATACGAGCTGAGACAGGCCATGTCCGAGAGCAGGCAGGATGGCGGTTATGGAGGTGGCTTGCCGCCTTGTGAGCTGTTCCCATCTCCTGACGAAGCAGCAGCAGCAGCAGCTGCCGCCGTCGCTGGCGACTGGGCTGCAGTGTCATCCGTTGACAGCAGTGGGATCTCGGCGCATGCGGGCGCAGGAGAGAGCTTCGCTGCGTCCGTATCTGTCAGCGATCAGACAATCAGAATATACAAGCCCATATTTAGGCATAGGATAGCTGCCGTGAACAGCATTCAACCGGCAACACCCAACAACAAGAGTACTGTAATATCACAAATTGTTGGTGTACTTTTTTTTCGGTACGTTTGGTGCGTCTGTTTCATACCTAAAGTTTCAATACACCGAACAAACACTAACACACATAATCCAATAGGGAACTGCTTCTCTGCACC